AATGTAGACTCGTTGCAGAGCTCCTTGCTTGCTGCAGGCTGACTGCAGGGCTGGCTGCAGAGCTGGCTGCAGAGTTGACTGCAGCTGTCTGCAGGGCTGGCTGCAAGGCTGGCTGCAGAGCTGGCTGCAGGGCTGGCTGCAGGGCTGGCTGCAGGGCTGGCTGCAGGGCTGGTTGGAAGCTTCAAGAAGACTGTCTTTTTACTTTCTCGGCCTCGCTGTGCGCTGCTATGCACCGCTAGTCGAGTATATAACCTTGCGTTCAATAAACCCTCGGAGCCAGGATGAACGTCCAACTCCAATCGTCATTTATTGATTGTAACAAGGTAAAACTGGTGAGAAAACACAGATACAACATCAGTTATAATCCGGAAACACCAACACAATGAACACCATAGCATCAGAACATTGACTTAGATAACAATAGATCCTGAACGGACCAGGCCCCTACATTACCACTGAACAGCTAGACAAGAGCACATGCCGGTGCGTTGCATACAGGCACATCGTGTATTCATCCCACTGCACCCCAAATGTACAGCATTACACATAACACTAAACTGTGGATGAGATACTTTGTCATCTTTACTCTCCAGATCGCAACATAGGCACAAGTCTGACTCAACCTGCTAAATCACAAGTAACATCCACAATAAGGAAAGTCGCAGGCTTCGTTACTAACTAGGCCTCGTATTTACTACAACAACTTAACGGCACCATAAAGGCATTTACATCACTATAACGGTCATTCCAACAATACAACAGCATTGCCAATATTATAGGAATATAAACAAACTTACAGACAATGCTTCTTAAGCTCCCACAATGGACAAGTGCGGCTGTGGTCTCACTAAGATGCGATGCGTGCCACCATCTTGAATTATGAGTAAGATGGCAGATGCCCGCGTGGTTCACTGAAAATCTAACATCGTCACTTCCTGGTCACGTGACCAAAATTAGCAACAAAAACAGGAACTTCCTGTATAAATACGCCCCACATCTGCCGTGAGGCAAGACACCTTGTCATGAAGGAGCGTATCTGGGGTAAGGGTCATGGGCGGTGTCAGTCGAGAAGCTCCGGGAACCATCCCAGAGGTGGAGCTTGGATGCGCCAGCAAGATATAAGGAGCACTGAACCATTGGTTCGGGGCTATTAGCGTGGAGTCTGGGTCCTGAGTGCGTCGCTGCTCACCGTCAGCTTTGTCTTTGACCACGTGGCTGTTCTTCTGCGAGATCCGCTCCGTCTTAACTGCTATGCTCGTCAACCAGCCAGCGTAGCGCACGATGGAAAGGGGCTGCGTGTTAGAGTAGCCTTGGTGTAGCTGCGTTACTAAGTGTATCGCCCTGTGTGCTCTTAATAAACAAGAAGCCTTCTACTAAGACGTGTGTCGGAAGTCGCTCACTACACATGTATCATGTATTCCTGATTGAGTATCGGTGTCGTACATGTTAATGTTAAGAATAATTACGTAATTACGTCTATATTTGATGTCTTCAACGATATTGCTATACGTTTTTTTTGTCACCTGCATAGATTTTCAACGCAAATGCTGCCATAATAAAGGGCACCAAATCATCTGGTGGTATTAATAATCTAACACAATAACCATGTTGTGGAAAATTAATACAAAAAGATAAGCAGACAATCTTTGTATATCTTTTTCTACGTAAAAATTATGCATATGTAGTGACATAGGACGTCACTAATGTGTTGGCCCGTACGAGGGCTGGGGGCCCCAAGGGGGTCCCTGGGGGGTCACGTGGTGGAGGACCCGGACCTTCCCAGAGGTGAGGGAAGGGAGGCGTGGCTTGGGCGGAGCCGGCCACGCCGGAGCGGATATAAGCGGGGTGTGAACGCAGAGTGGGGCTGTTCTACCCCGAAGTGAAGATGACATCATCCGACCTCAAGTCCCGGGTCGTCGTCCGTGACCAGGCAGCTCGTTGCCTGCCTTGGTCACGCTGTGTAGTGTTCCAGATTGTTAGTGAGTTGAGGAAGGTGGTCAACACCTTATGTACAGTGTTATATTACTTACTGTTTTAATAAATAGTCTTCTTGGTTCTTTCGGTAAAGTCACGTAGAATGGAAATAATAAAATAATAATAAAACATTATAAAATAATTCTCACAACGTTTCGGCCACAACGCAAGCAGCCGTCCTCAGGTGGAGAACAAGTCTGTCGAGAAGACAGAGTCTGAATGAAAACACCCCAGGCTTGGGGCGTCTATTTATGCTGGGATGGAGGGGGGAAGCGAGCCTTGACAAAATAATTTGCATATCAAGAGGAATTAAGCATATTTATGGGAAATGCAGATATGGGATTAGTCATTACTTGTGGAATGCGTAGGAGGTGGACGGGGGGTTTCAAAGTCATAATATGCCCGTGCATTATGCAGGATTAGCAGCATCAAAGGGAAGGAGTAAGGTTAGCATTAATAAAGGGAAGGAATGTTAATAGTATGGAGCTGCAGCAACTAATATGCTTATAGACTATACATTGTAATATTACAACATGTATTATTCTACCCACCCTACTGTATACCACACTGCTGTATATTTGTAATATTGTAAATTACGGCGGGAGACCACTTGACGGGTAGCACACTTTATTAACACTTGTCTTTGCCACAATAACACGTGTGGTCACTACAGCTCACGCTACACGTTCCACCCGACACGTGTGGTCACTACAGCTCACGCTACACGTTCCACCCGACACGTGTGGTCACCAGCTCACGCTACACGTTCCACCCGGCTACACACACACACGGGCTCTCCAGCCCCGTAGCTTCCAGGGGAACCTACAGACCCACCCCAGCTTGGGTATGGGTCACGACCACTGGGTCCTGTGGCCCGGCCCTCACACGGACGTCCGGCCCCGGGTCCCAAGGTCCCGCCTCTGAGCCACACAGGGTCCCGGCCCTTACAAGGACAGCGGGACTAGGGGTCTCAGGGCCCTATCTCTTCCTCCTCCGTCTTCCGTCTTCACTGGTCACCAACTCCCCGAGCACCCGCGCGCATCGCCTTTTATAGTCCTACACTCCCGGGGAGACGGAGCCTATGCGGACGTCGATGTGAGCACCACCCTAGTTGACCAATCACCACGCGCTGCCACACGATCCCTTTTCCCAGCTTGTGTCAGCGCACACAACCAATCACCACGCGCTGCCACACGATCCATCACTGTCAGCGCGCGTCACCACTACACAGCCAATCACCACGCGCTGCCCCACGATCCCTACTGCCAGAGCGTATCACCCCTACATATTCACTATACAATTACGATACTATATATTACCTTATACATTATTATACAATCTGCTATACACTATACCATTGACCGTCGCGTGAAAGGTACTGATTGTGTTCACGTTTACGGTGACTTTCAGACCGCAGTCCACTCACTGGCATTGACTATATATCTTATATTCTCCGCAGGGAATGGATTCTTTGCTCCGCTGCAAGCCTCCTACTACAACTCTCCCATTGACATATTTCGTTGCTTCCTCTTAGTACCTTTCACGCGACGGTCAATGCTATAGTGTATAGCAGATTGTATAATAATAAATAGTATAAAAGTGTAATGTTTAATACAATGTATAAGGTAATATATAGTATCATAATTGTATAGTGAATATACAGCAGTGTGGTATACAGTAGGGTGGGTAGAATAATACATATTGTAATATTACAATGTATAGTCTATAAGCATAGTAGTTGCTGCAGCTCCATACTATTAACATTCCTTCCCTTTATTAATGCTAACCTTACTCCCTCCCTTTGATGCTGCTAATCCTGCATAATGCACGGGCATATTATGACTTTGAAACCCCCTGCCCATCTCCTACGCATTCCACAAGTAGTGACTAATCCCATATCTTCATTTCCCATAAATATGCTAAATTCCTCTTGATATGCAAATTATTTTGTTAAGGCTCGCTTCCCCCCTCCATCTCAGCTTAAATAGACTCCCCAAGCCTGGGGTGTTTTCATTCAGACTCTGTCTTCTCGACAGACCTGTTCTCCACCTGAGGACGGCTGCTTGCGTTGTGGCCGAAACGTCGTGAGAATGATTTTATTATGTTTTATTTTTATTATTTTATTATTTCCATTCTACGTGACTTTACCGAAAGAACCAAGAAGATGAATCCCTGCAGTCACGAAAGCTTTAAATCGAAATTTAATAAATAGTGTTGCCTCCAAGCTGTGTCTGTGTTCACCTAATTCGAACCCATTACACATATAAGAAACTTTACAAATCCCATCAGCCCCAAGAACTGAGAGTACATGCATTAAGAAGTATTGATTCAGTACAAACAACTCTGGAGAAGTTTATGCATCATATAAGTTTGCGTCTGATTAGGATCCATATCATAAAAATAGGGTCATTCCCTATCATTTTTGGCAGGTCACCAGCATTGATTCAAGCGAGACACTCCATGTCAAAACAGGTCCAGAGTTTGCTTATACCGAATCAATGCTGCTAAAATTATGCATTATCAAATAACCGTGAGGCTGGCAGATTATGTACAAAATTCTTGTATTGTTTAGGTGGAGAGACATCTATGAAGTAAGCGACTTATGTGCTTATCGATTGTAATAATAATTTGCGGATCATTATCAATACACGTCTGGATGAAGGCTTACCAATATCGTGTTATATTCATACTTAGTTGCGCTGGTCGACGCGGGTTAATGAAGGCAGAGTCCAGCACTGGTTTATATCTCACCCACTGGGCAACTCCCTACTCATTAGGGTTGATACCTTCCCAGGTTTGACTTGCACAACTTGAGATTTGGCTTCGGTGTTCGGGTGGTAGGAAAGTGGTCTTATTGGCTTGAACTTCATTACGCTATACTGCTTTGTTTAGATAAACCTGGGCCGACTTTTAAATATTCCTGGGTTTAGTCTGTGGAAAAGGTATTAAACCTACCTCCACTCTCCCACCTGGTAATATGGCCTTACAAAGGTGAATTAATATAATCCATCACATGCCCCTTGCAGGATTCCATGGCCCAGACCAAGGTTCGCATCGCACGCGAGTTCACCCGCATGAGGGCGACGCTGAATGAGGACGAGAGGGCAGCTCTGGACCGCGTGGACGTGAAGGGGCGCGAGCTGCTATCTCGGATCGAGGAGCACATCACTCATTACGAGCGCGAGATCAGCGACCTCCAGGCAGCAGCCACGGGCCTGCATGCTCTGCAGGAGGAGAGAGACTCACTCACGTTCCTGCAGGTAGAGCGCTTGCGGATTCTTGGCGAGTGGTCAAATTTCACTGTGTCCTCAGCAGTAGAGAGACTCCTGGCTAAAGGGTTCACGTTAATTAACACATCTATGTGTGTGTTTGTGTTCAACCATGGTTGCCGAGAACAGGCCCCAAGGCTTGGAATAAAAAGTGACTGGCTACTGACAGCTTCGATAGTACAGCAAATAACAATGAACACACGGTTATAGGAAGCTGGGAATAGAGACTAAGCGAGGGCGTTTAGTGTGAGGAAAGGAGAAAGAGAAATGGTGTCCTACAATACTGTGGTTAATCCTTTTCCGTTCTCAGACGCCTACAAGTTGCAGTGTGGGTCCCTTTCATCACTGAATTTTGAAACACGCAAGCAGTGAGCGTAAATTAAATTCAAAAGGCATGGCACCTTTGTTTTTAAACAAAGTGTAGTCACCGCAGAGAACGAAAGTGACACGACCACACTTTGGGATTGTAGGCACCAAACTATGCCAAACGCCCTCCTGCATGGCATTGTGGAAGCCTTGGCGCTGATAAAGTAATATTATTTTAATTCTGATTACGTTTGACTTCCCAAGTTTTCTTCCGATTCTGATGACTTACATGTACGTTCTGATGACGTACATGTACGTCATCAGAACGTATCATCATGACGTACATGTACGTCATCAGAATCGGAAGATAAACTTGTTATTCGTACACTTACAGTACCCGTACAGATAACAAAGTGACTAACCCACAAAGACAGTCTGTGTGCATCTTCACCACATTAACTTGTTTATTATCCAAGATCTCTTTCAATACCCTCGCAATGTTCTTCTTTTGGTCACCGTACTATGAATGCTCTTCCCCTGGCTCCTATTCTCATCGTGTTTTACATTAATACAATAATACACCATGATCACTCCTGTCTATCTATGGTTACATTTATCTTATATTATTGATCAATCTGTCCATGTTTTCTTCCACAGGGTCATATGAAGAAGACAAAGAGGTACCTTGGTGCACGAACACAGGCTGAGGCTGGGTTTGCTCACGATGTGATTGATTCAGTAGGAGAGGGGTTTGTTAACGTGAGGATTTGATTAACCAACTACTGTATATATTCAGAGAGTGTTGCTGTGTCTATCCCCATGTCTGTCTTTCTCCCTCTCTCTTGCTAGGTCTTTATGTGTTTCCTGTGTCCATGTCTTTGTACCACCTTCTTTGTTGGTCTCTACTACTATTGATTTCTGCTACTATATATCTAACTTGTACCCTATGGTGGCACAGTCCATTGTATAGGTTATTAACTTAAATGGTTCATCTAAAGTCAGGGGGGTATTATTGCAGAGTTTAGCAACACAGTGGCTGAGCACAAGTGTTTCCGTGTCTTCTCCCTGTCTCACCATGTCTGTGTATATATTTGTTGTGTGCTTTAACGCGTTCATCTTCCTCAGTCCATAGTTGTGCAATATTCCTTAAGGACCCTGTACTCGTTTTCTGCAACGTTGACGTTTTTATTTCGCTGTTGCCTTGCTTACGCACCACGTATCTCCTTTGTAAGATAGCAAGGAAACTGGCTAAGCATTCCAAACCGTGTTGCAAATCAAAACAAACGTAATATTGAATATTACCCCGCCCAACTCCTGCAGGATTCTACCCTCAAGTGATTTTATTATACTCATATACCCTGTGGTGTATCGGTGTTGTGTCTGCACTGTTTGTTGTCTACGTGTTGACACGCGCTCGTGTTAAGTCCTCTCTCCCTCCCCCGTGTGCTTAGGACTGAGCGCCCCCAACCACCTGCTCTTCCAAGTGAATTGACTGTGGGTGGCGTGAGCTGGCTGAGTGGAGTCATTGAGAAGCTCAAGCTGTCTGCACCATGTGAGTTGAAATTCACACAGCCAAGACACGTATGTTTGTACAACTTATTTCCCACCGTACATAGCCAACCGTGCTAAGCAGAGGTCATACACGGACATATAAAATGAGACAACAACTGCCATTCGCCACTAAATAGTGGTTACATCACCACGGCGCTAGTGCCATGCTATGTGTACGTTAAGGTCACGGGACAAACCCAGGTGCCATGGCCAATGCCAGGCTGCAGCTTGCTTGCTCCCCTGCTCCTGACGCTCCTGGCATGCTCTTGTGGTCCCAGACGTCCCACCGGCCCTGGTTCACTCCCCAGGTCGGCCGCTGGAAACATATAACAATAATAATAATATCGTCACCTAATGTTTACCTGTACAAAATCTATTCTGTAGAGTTGGAGACAGCACTCAACTCCTACTTACAGTGAAGATCCCCTGGTCCTCACTCGTGTCGCTCCTATTGTTCAGTCCCTGGGCCAATCAAGTGAGATGTTCATCTATACATAGCTTATGTTTCCCTAGCCCTGGTTGGCGTGTTCTCCCCCAAAACCCATTCCCACACCGGTCTAACCACACTCTTTCCAACTCACGGGGTAGGCTTCACGCACTACGCCACAATTACCCCAATGAGTTTATCAAACCTGGCTCAGTGTAAAGGGGAGGCATGTGCTGCTGAAACAGCCAAGCCCAAATAGCAGGGCCCTGGGTTCAATCCCCAATTCTAACTCCTATCCAGGATAGCCAATGTCCTCAAGTGCGATGAGTCTAGCTGTAGCTTAGTCTCCAATGATTGAACAACAAATCCAACCCTCACCACTCATGGCACTCAATTCACTCTCAACCAGGGGTAAGGGCATCGATATCAGTGGTGGAGGTAGAGTGGAGCTAAATAACTTAGACAACTCAGCTTCTGATAATTGGTTTTTTACCCTTTTATGAAAAAGGGCCATTGCCCGAAACGTCCACTACTATATTTTTACTTTTAAGGCAGTCTTAATGAAAAATGCTAGTTTTCTTCGTAGCTTATATTATGTTATCTGACTTGCGTGTGTTCCCTTGTGCACGTGCTCCTATTTCTGTCTTGTCAGTTTAATTACAAGTGTGTACTTCTCCATCCTTATTTGTGCACCTTTAAGCTTTTGCTAAATGTCATTTGTATGTATGTTGAACTTATTTTGCACCATAGGTAGCGAACCGTGCTAACCCATGGGTCTCTGTGGGTCTCTGTGTATGTGTATAAATGTTGCACTTCTTTTGCAAAATAATTAACCAAACTGTGCTTATCAGAACATTTGTCAGAATTTGCCAGTGTTCATGGATCTAATTTTTTTTATACAATAGGTGCCACTGCACTGATTGAACACTTTCCCTGATTGGACACGCTATGCTGACTTTCATTGTCAAGTTCAGATGTCCAATAGTACTCCCACCTGCTCTCCCCCACTCTCACTCATATAGGTCAAGTGTGCGTAGCAGGTACTATGTGGCGGGCAGCAGATGGCAGGGCATACAAACGCACCGCTGTACTGTGCTCTCACCAGCTGTGCCACCTGCCTTCGCCAACACGCAGTGACCGGCGTGGTGAAGTATTGTCAAATATCCCACACGACCTGCACGGTGTAGGGAGGCCCTAATCCAGCAGTGGATTGACAAAGTGCCTGTTACATGTCATCACACCGATAGCTACGCATTACAACGTTGTATAATAATGTTCATTATGAATTGCTCTATTGTAATGTACATGCGTGTAAGTGCACGAGTGCTATTGTTTAGTTGTGCTGTTGTTACACGGGTACTGTGATTATTGTTACTGCAGACGGACGCTCACCAACTCTGGACCCATACTCGGCCCAGAACAACCTTCAGATTTCCTCGGATCTCAGGACGGTGACACGGACCGCTGTCTCCCAGGATCGCCCCGATCACCCACACCAGTTTGATTGGTGGCACCAAGCAATGTGCTCCGAGAGCTTCTCGTTGGGTCAGCACTACTGGGAGGTGGACGTGGGGGGTGCGGCGGGGGGCTGTGACGTTGGAGTCGCGTACGGGACGATCGCACGGAAAGGGCGTGGTGACGAGTGTAACCTGGGACAGAACGACTCATCCTGGGTTTTATATAAAGATAACAACAGCTGGTCAGTGCATCATGGTGGTGTACGGACCTCAGTGCAGGTGAGGGATCCTCCCCAGAGAGTCGGGTGTCACCTGCACTGGGAGGCGGGGCTGCTGTCGTTTTACCGCGCTGACTCCATGGAGCTGTTACACTCCATTCACCACTCGTTTAGTCAACCGCTCTACCCCGCACTGGGTGTGTATGGTGTTGGTAGCTCAGTGAGGATTCTGGACCTGAGTCGTGTGTCCTCAGATCATGGAGTGTGAGCAGCGCAGAGAAATGAGCACAACACACAGACTCACGCACACAAAGACACAGATCCCCCGTGTAGCCTTAACAGACTATGAAGGCCGCAACGGCACTCGAGGGGGTGGGTGGCCAACACCACGCCCGGCCGCCTTTGTCTCCCCAGTGGTGATGTTTACACCCTGCACTCGGAACTAATTTGAGGCTGAGTCGACCTACGGGAGGCCCATGACCGGTTCACCAACACCAGTGACGACTATTTGAATCGGTCCTGGGTCTCCCCTAGGTCGACTGAGCCTCAAATGAGTACCTGGTGCGAAGAGTAAATATCGCCCCTGGGGATATAAAGGTGGGTCTCTCCCAGGCTGGCCTTCATAGGTACAATTCAATAACACCACTTGACCCAACAATATTTTAAGGCTATACAGGGGATCTTTGTCTGTTGGTGAATGGGTTGGTATGTGTATGCCTTTCTCTGTGTGTGTCTTTGTTATTGCGTCTTGGTCTTCGTGTCTGTGTGTGTCTTTGTCTTTGTGTGTGTCTGGGCATAGTGCTGGTCACCCACCCCCTCGTGTGCCACAGTGCCAGCCTTCATAGTTGCTACTTGCAACTCACAGCACTTGCCCCAACAGTCTGTTAAGGCTACACGGGGGATCTTTCTCTTTAGTGTATAGAGGGGCATGTGCGTAGTGTGGGGTGGGGTGGTGGTGCAGTGGTTATCGCACTGGTGGGGGAGGGCAGGGGGAGCCAAGGTTCTCTCTGACCCCATCGTCCCTCACACTGCACCGCACGCCGCGTGGCGCTCAACGCCGAGAATGTGGAGTTCCACCGCGGGCGTGCTGGGAACGCGTCACGTGACACTACGGGGTTGACGCGCACCGTCCCCTCGCGGTTGCTCGCTCGTTCAGCGGTAAACCCGGGGTGGGAATGGGATGGTATCACTAGCTGAGAACTACTGGTGGTGTGTGCCGAGCGTCGCTGGGCTAAAACATTTTGTTATAACCAGGGGTCGAGTGACTCCTCCACCCACCCAAAGTAGTTTTATTTTACAGGGAATAGAGAGAGAGAAGCCACACCTAGTAGTAGTAGGAGGAGGTCTTTCGCTACCAATATTAATACTATAATAGCCCAGAAATGTGTGTCCCACACGTGACGTCACTCCACATGCCGCACCCCCCCCCCCCCCATCATTAATAATAAAAGAATCATGAGCGGGTAGATTATTACACTCACGCGGAAGAAGGTCAAGCTGAAAATTTTATTTTTTCGCAAAGTCGCTTCAAATATGACGTTTCTCTACAGAAAGTGACAGTCAAAAATAAATATACGCAGCACAGTGCTACATCCGTACATGCCATCACTGCAAACGAGCCCCCCTCCCCTCATTAATTATCATGAGCGGGTGGATTTGAACACTTTCTTAAGTCGAGCCGAATTTTTTTAACGCAAATTCGCTTTAAATTTGACGTTTCTTCATTGAAATTTAATCAGATCAATATTTCTATGCAGCAACAAAGTGTATTTGCTGTCTTTATTTATTTCTTCAGCACAAAAGGTAAGTCAAATTTTTGCTTCTAAATAATGAAAAAATATATACATTTCTCCTTGATTTTCCAATTGAACGCGAATTAAAAACAGTGCTACAATGACATGAAGTGAGGTGTTTTATTATATAGTTTCGTGCAAGAATCACTGCCATTAATATAGTACTACAGTTAACTGCAGTGAAGTGTTTGTTTACATCGCTTTGTGCAAGATTCACTGCCATTAAATGTACACAAGATACAATAATACTCTGGTTATTTTTCCGTAACTTTAATAGTTATGTTTGGTCTTTTTTAATTGAAAACTTACTTCTGACAGTATCAGCAGTCTACTTTCTTCACTCTTCGCTATCAATCGTCCATAGTGGAAGAAACATGTGTCAGTTCAACGCTTCAGGTGAGTTAAAAGCAGTGCTAAATTTACGTGAAGTGTTAATTCAAATTATTGAGACATTCTTTGTCTTTGAAAATTGCACAACATACAGAAGAGTCCGTGCTCAAATAATTCACAAATTATTCTGCTTATTTTCGCTCTTTTTTATCTAAACTTGGCGTGTCTGGCGATCTCACTGCCCATATACACTGTCAAAAACGCGAGAACCAACCTTATTCACAGTCCTATCTGCTGGAAAACGTAAAGTGTCATAATATCTAAATACATCGGTCTAGGATTGCCAACCATCATGGAGGACGAAGATACTGCAGCTAAGAAACAGCGTTTGCAAAGAGAAAGAGAGCAGAGAAGGAGAGCTCGCCAGAGCCAGGTAACTTTGGACCGAATTCTGAGAGAGAATGCTGAAAGTCAAGCAAATCGACGAGAACAAGAAACTCTGGATCAAAAACAAGCTCGCCTCGCTGGCAATACTGATAATCATCTCGCAGGACAAGAACGTCGTAGTCAAGCTATTTGGGCTGAGGCAAATAACGTTGTGGAAGCTGAAGTGATTGAACACAACTGAAGCGCGTTGAATGTAGTTTGCCAGTTCTGTGGTTCACAAAATTTTGCTGCGGAGTGGTCATCAGATGGAGAATTCACAAGTTGCTGTCGGAAAGGCAAGGTGAATGTGGAAAAGCCGATCGAATTAAATGGAAGTGTGGTCCAATATC